TTTACTTAAGTAAATTTTTTGAGTACTTTCTCCACCACTGGTTGTTTTAGATGTTACAGAGTCCTAAAAAACAAACAAACAAACAAACAAACAAAAATCTCTCTCCCTCTCCCTGTGAATACTGACCTGATGTGTTCAGACATGATCTACTTCTCTATCCTAACCTGCTCATTAAAATATTCTCCAGGTTTGATTTCTTCGAGCTATGAGGCTAAAAAAGCTGTTCGCTCGATGAAGGCTCGCAAACTAAATGGTGAAGGTGAAACATGTCACTCGGATCTTTGGCTCTGTGACTCAGGTTCCATGGATTGCTTCTCGTGATGTCAGCTTCTTCTGCCACTCTGTTTCCAAACCCCTCAAGGAACCAAGATAATTTGTTTTGCTTTAAAAAAAATTAATGTGAAGCTGTGTTACCAACAACAGCACGATCACAGAACAGATGATTTCTGAATAGACTGATAGTTTACCATCAAAAAAATGAATTTAATGTGCAACTTTATAAGTTGTTTGGGGGACAACAGTGACTACTGAGCCTCTGTTGATACAGTGATCATCAACACATATTTTAAGAAGTAGACACCCAAAAACAGTGGTCTGTCTCTCTCTCTCTCTCTCTCTCTCTCTGTCTTTTGGGTCTGAAAAGTCCATTAAAAACTTTTCAAACTCTAAATTTCTTTGCATTACTTCTTGTCACCACTAGATGGTGCACTTACAAATAAAACGAAGGCAGCTTGTTTTGTATGTTTTGCTGTGCTGTCCCCTGTTTGGATGAAGATTATAGATAGAAACTTTATTAATCCCTTTGGGATTAGTAAAAATTAAAAAAAAGTTTATTTCATGACAATATTTAAGTTTTAGTTCAGCTTTACATTTTTGCGAAAACGTAACTCGGGAGATGGTGGAAAATCTGTGATGCCGTGGGCCTGTTTTTTTTTATTTTTTATTTTTTATAGTAAAATAAAAAATAAAAAAATAAAAATTATAATACCATAAACTCTGAGGTATTTGAAAACAGGTGTTCTTCCTGGGCATGTTGAAATCTGAAGACAAAATAATAATAATAATAATAATAATAATAATAATAATAATAATAATAATAATAATAATAATAATAATAATAAATGTAGTAAGAAAATTTTACAATGACAAGAAGCATGACTGTATATTATATGATTACCTAGTTATTTATCCATGTCATTCCTTAAATGGAATAACTATAAAATAGCCACACATTTTATGTCATCCAAATGATTTAAAACAAAGAAATTCAATTAAAATATTTTATATATTAATTTTACATATATTTAGCCACATTTGCAAATATATTCACAAAAGTAAATAAAATGAAATCTAAGTTTAAATTATAGATAATCACCTTTAAGTATTTTTGTATTCATTCATGTTTAAAATATGCAAACATTTGATTGGTTAATCTGTTAATTCTCAATCCAATTTTTGGTTGTTTCTGTTTTGTTTTTGTTTTTGTTTTGTTTTTTTTATGTTTTTTTTATGTTGTGAGAAAACATGGAACTACTGGAAATTATTCAGGCGCCTTTTAAAGCAGACCAATTTATGAAAATGCCAGCGGCGGCCATGACCTACATTAGTTTGTTCTCTCTGAAGGTATCCTCAAAGTCAAACTGCAGCAGCACAAAACGGGGCGTGATCAAAGCAAGAAAGAAAAAAAAAACTGAGAGAGAAACACATGTCACATTTCAACTCTGCTTGCCCACAAATGACTTATAGCACACGGCTGATCTTAAACATGATAAGAGTTAAGGTGGGGAAATTTACATTTCAGAAAAACATGAGTAGGCACACACTCGCTCGTTTAGCGGAAACCAGCTTCCTGTCAAGGAGATCTCTGAATAGTTCACAAATTTTAATCGTAAGCGATTAAAATTCAGGTTATTTTTATTTTTTTGTTTCTCTGTTTAAATCCCAAGAAAAATCCTTTTCATCTTTTATTTCGTTAATCACTTCACCTGCAGCGAAAACGCAAAAGAAAAACAAAATGAAAATGTTGCTTTTTTTCAGATAGTGAAATGTTACAGTAACCTGTGGAGATTAAGATGATAATAAACAGCATTAATGACGTTTTTTTTTATACCGACTAGCTGAAGTTGGCGAGGTGTGAAGTGAACTTCCTGTGTGTTTCCAGTTCATTACAGAAAGAGGAACATGCAGCTAATAGTGCTAGAAGTCATCTTGGTGTTTTTCTTTTTTTTTTTTTTTTTGCTTTCCTAAAAGTGAACACATGATAACACACTGCTGCACTTACATGTTTTAATAGAGGTGATTATATGCTGTCACCTCTGAGCATACAGTCCCACTAATAAGATTCTTCTTTTTATACTTTTCTGAGGAATACACACATTGAACACATGGACTGGAGGTACTTGTAAGATGCTTAGACTAACGTTGTGTTTTTTCAGGATGAGAGTTAGGAGACTCAACGACTTGCTGTGGTGGGAACTGCCAGAGTCTGGTCCTGCTGCCTCGTGAATGTGCCATTTTAGAAGGAAATTCAAAACAATAGGTCGTCCCAAAAATATTATATGATCCCAAAAATATATTTGCAATTTCAGGAAATCTACATAAAAAGACAGAGAACCCTCCCGCTTACTCTGATGCCCATCCTTTCTGTGTGAACTAAGAATAATTCTCACACCTGGAATGACAATGTCAGAATCGTGAGTGCGACCCCCCCCCCCCCACCCCCACCCACCACAAACCCCAAACCCCTTCTTTTTGGCATTTGAAGAGGGAAAACTCACTTACTGTAAAGATTGAGTGGTGTACAAGTGACTCAAACGCTGACTTTACATTGAGTGGCAGGAAAGCACACAGGTTACTTAAAAAAGCAAACAAAAAATACTTTGACACAACCAGGGGAACAAGCAAGTACAAACAATCATAGGAGCTGTAAGTGTAATAGATCCTCAAAAGTAGTACTAATCAGACACAAGACCTAGGAAAAAGTAAAAACAAAACAAAACATAAAATCAAGGAATATATACAAAATCAACCTTCCAGACCTCTCAGGTCTTCTGGTTCTGGTTCTGATCTGCATCCAGAACCAGAACCAAACAAGGAAAAACAGCATTCAGCTTCTATGCACCACAAATGTGGAACAAACTTCCAGAAAACTGCAAAACAGCTGAAACACTGAGTTCCTTTAAATGTAGACTAAGAACCCACCTGTTTACAGCTGCCTTTGTATCATAATTAATGAAACACTGACCAACATTCTGATGTGTAATGATGGCATTTGACAAAAAGTAGTTTACCATGTTTTGTCTTTTGTCTTCTTCTTTTTTTTTTTTTTTTTTTCATGTTTGTGTTTTTTTGATGTAAAGCACTTTGACCTGCCTTGTTGCTGAAATGTGCTGCACAAATAAACTATGATATTTTGGGGTGAATCATTTTCAGTTCTTTCTTCTTCTGCTTTAAATAGACAGTATACAAACCAACACGGTATCACCCCCGTGAGAGGATGCAGCGACAGCTGCAGATAACACTCAGCCAGGCTGAGAACGCTATGAATACATTTATGGTATGAAGGCAAGTTTATTGGAATCACACATTTCATCAACAGGGCAATTCAATGCAATTTACACAATGAAAATAAAATAAAACAACAAATAAACAACCAAAAAACATTATATTGTGGTGGCAGGAAATGTAAAGAAAAGTTGAAATGCAGACCAAAATTACTGATGCTCCAGGTGATAGAAGACCGACTTTGTAATCATCTTTATGTGACTGGGAATGTTCAGGTCTGAATTCATCACTACATCCAGATTTCTGGCCTGATCAGTAGTTTCTAGCTTTAATAACCATGCATGCTGACTCTTAATCGTTCCTCTTTAGGTCCAAAGATAATAACTTAAAGTTATGGCCCATCCAGTGATTTGCATTTGCTCAATATTTGAACAGGTCCGTAGTCACCTGGTGACATCTTGATGTAGAACTGTGTATCATCTGCATAGTCATGGTAACCCATTTGTTATAATCTGAGCTAATGGGAGCATGTAGAGTGGATATGAAATACGAGGGACACAAACATGGAACCTTGGAGAACCCCGCATGTGACTTTAGTCAACTCCAATAAAAAATATACCAATTGACACAAAGGAGTACAACCAGCCAAGTACTGTCCAATCCAGCTCTCCAGTTGCTTAATTGGACCTCAGTGGTGAACGCTGTGCCGAGGTCCAACAGAACCAGCACTGTGGTTCTTCCACAGTCTGTATTTATATGGGTGTCATTGAACACAGTCTCGGTACTGTGTTGAGCAAGGAGACTGGACTTGGCTACAGTTAAGAAGAAGCTGTCTAACTGTTGAAACAGCTTTTTCATTAAACCTTACAGTTGAATGGAAGAATGCAGAATGCATCAGGTGGATGGTCATAGGGAGATTTATCAAGATGGTAAAGAGTGCTTAAGCTAGCAAGTGCTTACCATTCTTTTTTGGTTCGATCTTTCGGACATGATTCTGCTGCACAACAAACTGCACGGTTTGACATCTTTCAGTAAATAGAGTCAAAATGTTATATTGAACTCACACAGCTGTTTAAGTAGCTTTATACATTTAATTTCTGCTTTCCAAGAACCTCTGGGTCAACCGATGTCTGTCGAAACATATGTTGCGTCAGCATGTAGCAACAAGGCTGTGCTGATAATGCAAAAACAGACAGTGTATTATAGCTCTTTGTAATTTTAAAGTGTTTCCCATGAAGCGGTGACACATTTGTAGGTGATGCAAAGTCTTATCTGCTAGTGCTGAAGCTCGATCTGAACTCACGTATCATAATTTTTCTGACAAAAAAAAAAAGGTTGAAGACACATCAAACATGTTACCGCAATGAACTGTGCACCAGAAAAAAAATCCTCTCCTTTGATAAAGAATGATAACGGATGTGATTATGTGAACATCAAAGCTCCTTCCTTATGTCAATTAAACAGTATTTTCGCCTCAGCTTGCCTTCAGGTCACTCAAGTAACAGAAGCGATGCACTGACTGGAGGTTAAAAGTAACAGAAAGAACAAACAACTCACAAAGAGCAAAAAAAAAAATCAGACAACAGAAGAGCAAAACCCAGCCACCAGATATACCAAGATAAACTTATCAAAACTCAACGCAGAAACCAGCACATACAAAAAGAGCGAAGTCAGAACAAGATAATGACACATTCTAACATCTCCAGAGCAAAGCATCAGACTTACTGGGAAATGTTCTCAAAAATGCACAATTTGGTTCATTTAATAGGTTTTACTGTGAATATTTTTGACTATTCAGTCGTCATTTTAAGTAAAGGTGCTAAACAATTTTCTCTGCATTGAATCAAATGACATTTGAAAATGTCAGAGGGAAGGGTGACAGTTTGAGTCAGATGATGTTCACAATGTGGCCTAACAAGACCTGATTATTAATATAACTGGTAAAACCTCTGGAGGTTTCAGTGCACCATATTTTGACAGAGTGTTGGACAAACCTTTCAGTTTGATATTTGGATACCGATCTGATTTGCATAATGTTGTGATCAAGAGCAGATATAGTTATTGACAGTACTCATTATTTTACAAATATAAATAATTATGGTTAAAAAAAAGCCCAGCTCATTTCAGTGAAATATACATTAAATCGTATTTATATGGAAATGTTAAGTTTTAAGATATATTTTTTTTAATTCAAAATGTTATTTCCATGGACTGCCTCCCGAAAATATAATTCCACCATCAATATAATTATGCAAATATATATGTATGCTTTTTTTGTGAGTGTAGCTACTCAGATTAGAAAAATACACACTTTTTGTAAACCAATAAAAAAATCCTACTTGCAAAAATGTTTTAAAATAAAACATAAAGTAGCATAATGTAACACAGAAACATGATGCAAATTAGAGACTATAAACCACATAATGGAAGGGGCAGAGGGCTTGAGTGCCAACCAAGAAACGAGACAAAAAAAAAGTGTAATTTGATGTTATTAACAAAATGCTGTGAAGTCGATTGAATTAATCGATATGCAAGATGTGTTAAAGGTAGAATGCAAAGGTTTTAAAAACAGGCATGGAGAGAGGTGACAGGATGACGAGAGCGTTGTGGTTGACTTGCTTCGCAGGAAGGCGGTGTGTAAAATTAAATTCTGCTTCTTAAATGTTGGCTCAGAATATGCAAATTTAATTTCATGCTGTATCTTATTTTTGTTTTGTTTTTCTTTTTGCAGTTTTTTAAACCGCAAACCTCTTACGTTCAAATTTCTCTATTCTCTTTTCTACTTGCAACAATTTTTGTTACTAAATGTGCCTGCATGAGTTATTGAGAGTTGAAAAATTTCTTATAGTAATGATAGTATTATTTTTAAATGTAGAAGTTGACGTAAATTTACAATTTATAGCTTGACTTTCAATCAAATAGATATAAGTTAAAATGTTTCTACCAAAAAAACAAACAAAAGGAAAACAAATTGATCATGTTTTCCTTTTTGACGATATACGTCAAACATCGTGTACCGCCAAACTTCGAACAAGCTAAACCGGCACGTGCCACACATAAATAACACATAACATTGGGAGGGTTTGATTGACTTCATACATTTACTGTTTTTTGCAGAATGCAGGAAATGACCTCTTCTCCGCATCTTTTCTAAAAGTTCCAGAGTTCAACAAAGTGCGGTCTATGCAGGAGGGAGGAAATTGCTGTTGTTTCCTAAAACAATTTTTTTTCCCTCCATCTTCTCATGGAGGGAAAAAAATTGTTTTAGGAAACAATTTTTCCTAAAAAAAATTGTTCATGTTAGCGTGAGCTAACATGAAAAAACTGACTTTCTGGTTTCATCAGGAAAAATGTGTATTTTTCAACTGAAATTTCTTCTTGATTCTTTGAAAGCAAAACGGGGCGTGAAGGGATCCTGACCTGACCGGGCCAGTAAAGTCATTTGGGTTCTCGGGTTTGATCACAGAAAGAGTCTTTCAGTAACTGTACGCACAGGAGTTTCTGAAAAGCTGTCTGCAACAGTTCAAACACACATTCAGCCTTGCGAACAGAAACTTTACAGTCATTACATTTGAGAAGGTTTTTTTTTTTTTTTTTTTTTTTGCAGGTCACACTTGTTATGCGCAGAGGCCAAACGCTTTTCATGTCAAGTGGTTCTGTTTTTGGGAAAGAAAAAAAAAAAATTAAAGAGAAAGAAAAAAAAAACGTGTTATTTTTCAGAGCTACTGTTTCTTGTCAGTTTGTGAGTCGTCCTTACAGTGTCATAATTCGTCACCGCCCCTCCACGCTATGCGTAAAAAAAGAAAAAGAAAGAAAAAAACTCCCCCAAAATATTTCCTCCTCGTTCAGTCTCAGCAGAGCAGCGGCTCTGTGCGCAGCGCTTGTGAATGGCAGCGGGCGGTGGGTGTGAGATTTTTCCCAAACCCACCATCGTGGTTTCAGCGTGTCGGGCACCATGTCGGGTCGTGGGGTGCAGAGCGGCGAGGCAGAAACAAAATGCTGTTGGCTCGGAACCTACATGCATGTTCTCGTCGTTGGTAAGACACCTGCAGACTTTTTCTGGTCTTCTTGAAACATTTCTGCGCATTAAAAAAAAAGAAAAAAAAAGAAAAGAAATAAACTGCATGACTTATCATGTTTTCATTAACTGTTGTTTATATTAAAGGGTTGATGCTCGTTCTCTGTGCTCCAATCTTCACACACGTCCATGTTTCTGCAGGTAGGACTTAGTTTCTTTCTTTCGCGGAGTGTAGCTTGTTCATGAGGGTGATCTTAAACGCACTAACGTAACTTTTGCTTTGCATGTGTTCCGGTAACAACAACCTTTTTTTAACAAGCTAGTTAAGTTCCACATAGATGCTGGTAAGGTGCGAGATGAGAAAATGTGATAAAGGCGTGACCATAAACTCTTTGTGTATTAATTTTGATTCAAAGTGCTTTGAATTTCCTGACTAGTATTTCTTGTATCAGCTGTGTTTTAGCTGAGTTGGAGGAGCTTTGTACCAAATGACAGACACCTCTCTGATGTGTCTTCATTCATATTTTATGTTCATCCAGAAAGGTGCAAGCCAGAGAACATTTCAGCCAAATACCAACACTGTGGGACTCACCAAGGTGAGAACAGACGTCCTCATCTCGTCAATCGGTGCAATCACATCAGAGATCGGCAACGTTGTGTGTGGTGTTTTTTCTTTTAAAGATGGAGTCCATGATCTAGACTGTTTCCGTAAATCCAAGACCGATGAGAAATGTACGTGGGAATCCGGAAAATATGGATCAAAGAGCTACACCTTCATCTTACAACAAGCGTATGCCACAAACCTTTCCATTGTGTTTTTTTAAGCAGTTTTTTCATTGAATTTTTTATTTTTTTTGTAAAAGTCCATTTCTTTCTCATTTCTGTTTTTGCAGAGACAAACCTCATTGTGTCATTTACTACAACCTAACCGAACCCAGTCAAAAGCTGAAAATATTTGACCTCAACTTTACGGTGGAGGTTATTGAAAACAATGCGGGGACGGCGAATTGCACAAAAGCAGTTTTCAGTGGTTCAAAAAAGACTCTGAGTAAGTCTGAGAAAGTGTATGAAAGTCTGTGTGTGTATGCGTGCGTGGGTGTGGGTGTGTGTGTGTGTGTGTGCGCGTACATATCACTCTCTTTCTCTCTATATATACGTATATGAAACGATGTGTTTTTGGTTCTCCATTTTCATACCGCTGCTCTGCTGTTTGACTCACACGCACTAATAACTTGACAGAAATCTTTAACCCATCAGTGCAACAGATCATTTTCTATTTTCCAAAGTTGGCCAAAATAGTTGCATTTTCAGATAAATGTAACTTCTGTAATTTAGTCCTGTATGGACTGACTGAGGGGCCACTCAGTACGGAAGAAGCCATCGCTAGAAAAAGTTTGTTTACGGTTTCAAAATGCCCACAGAAAGAAACCCTGTGGTATAATTAAGCTGAAGTTTAAGCACTTGGCTATACTGAGAATCCATTTGGATGAAAAACGAAGAAGTCAGCAAACCATAAGCCACTACATGAGAACTGTGAAGTATGACGACTGCAGCTTCAGGTTGCGTGGGTTCTTTGCGGCAGGGGGGACGGGTGCGCTTTATGAAATAGATGACATCATAAGAAAAGAACATTATGTGGAAAATTTCACACAGATTCTCAGGATATCAGCAATGAGGTAAAACTTGGGCCTCAAATTGACCTTCCAAATGAACAATGGTCTTAAGCATACCAATAAGTCAGATGCAACACAACTTATGGACAAATAAGTCAATGTTTTTGCGAGGCCATCACAAAGACCCGATCTCAGTCTCACAGAAAACGTGCAAGCAAGACAAACCTGATTCAGCTGCTCAGCTTGTAGGACGTCTTTGTAAACAAAACATTGGACCTATTTTATACTGTTCAATGTTTGATTCTCCAAACCACAAAGGAAATGCAAGTAAACTTGTGACGTGAAAAAAAATAAATAGAAAAAACATAAATGGGCAAATAGAAAGAATGTTGCTAATCTTAAACAGAAACAGCTTAATGTCAGACAGTGAGAGTTTTATTATTTTTGTTTCTTTTCTCTACTTCAGAGCGGTCCTGCGGGCCTCCTAACGAAGTGTTGCTGTCTCGCACACCTGGGGCGCTGCAGGTGAACGTGACCTGGCTCAAAGAGGACGGAAATAACAAGATCTCTGTGAGATACAGAGCGCTGGGCAGCCACTCGTGGAACGAGGTCAGCATTAATCGCCCGCTCACAACTGCCGCAAACCGTGTTTTCGGAACAACTATCCGTCCTGACCACGTAACATCAGTTAAAAACAAAAAGTGAAAGCGATAATATTGTAATATTGTGATATCACAGCTAGCAGGTAAATAACTGGACTAAACTTTACTTTATATTTAAAGACTTTATAGGTGTACGTGTTTGAACTGGTTTGTTTCTTAAATGGAAATGAACTTGATACATTTTGTGCTTAATGTTTTAAGTCTTAATATTAGAGCTTTCAAGAAAGCAGAAAGCTTTTACTGTTTATTTGTCAATGTCTAAATGTTGGAACTGACTTTTGCTATACAATGAAGAGTTTGCTTAAACTCTCACTATCCTCTGCCTTCTGCTTGTGGTTCTACTGCCATCTACAGAAATACACCACTTGGTCTAAAAACAACCAATCAGAGCCAGGAGGAGGGTCTTAGTGCTGTCGATTATGCTCATGTACACGCTGTTCATATGCTAGGTCCCCACACGGGAGCCTGCAGTGAATGCTAAGGCTAGTTAGCATGGCCACCGATGATGGCGGATAAACTGTGGCAGGTTGAGCAGCGCATACGTGAGCCCGATTGACTCCTCCTCCTGGCTCTGATTGGTTGTTTCTGATCGGGAGCAGTGCATTTCTGCAGATGTCAGTAGGACGACAGGAAGGAGGCGCAGGAGCTCCGTTTTTTCACAAATTATCTGTCTCGTGTTACACTGTCACAACATAGTAATGTGTAAACATATTCATTATAAAAGTTCTACACTACAGCGTTAAAGTTATCAAAATGAATCAAACCTGGTTTGACTTGTTTCCAGCTCACTGATTTCTGCCTTTGTTCACAGACTGTAGAGTCTCAGCTTCCAAACACAGCCATGGTGGAGAAGCTAACGCCCTCATTGGTCTACATTGTCCAGATACAGTGTGTGACTACTGCTGAATGCTCACAGTGTCCACGGAGTAAAAATTACTACGTCCCATCAGGTGAGGACTGACTTCAGATTGAATTCAGAAATCAAGTAAAGCAGTAAAAATCCAGAAAATATTGAAAATATTGACTACGTCGAATCTCTTTTTTTCAGAGCTTACAACTCGACCCATCCTTGTCAGCGCCAAATACACCGATATTATGCAGAAAACCGGCTGCCGGTTGATTTCCATAACCTGGAAGGTACTTGCACACCTTGAATCAACGCAGTTTTAACACATCCTAAAAAATAAAAAAAGAAAAGAAAAGATAGTAATGAGAATGACACGGTGCTGAAACGGGAGTTGTGCTGTTTGGTAGTTTCCTGTCAAAGATCTGTACGACGGCTACAGAGTGACCGTTTGGAAAGAGTCCGGAGAGCCTCCGCAGGCGCAGCTGACCACCTCAGAGCCGGAGATCAGACTGATCCTCTCCTACTCGGCGTACCGCCTCAACATCAGCGCTTACAACAACGCGAGCGTTTCGCCAGCTGCCACCCACGTCATACCACAGCACACAGGCGCCAACAGTAAGAAAATCACTTCTTTTTTTTGTTGTTGTTGTTTTCAAATGACAAACTTATAAAACCTAAATTATTAAAACTTACTAATTTGGTGAATTCACAAACAGGGTGCAATGTGTTATTTAAAGCAGGAAACAGAATTTCATAGGGAAATGAAAATTAAAACCGAGTTCAGAACCGCAAGAAGTTTTTGCGTTTTGTGTGGGACAGACAGACTGTGGCGTTAAAGCATTAAGGACATGGTCTGCTCTGTACATGGGAAATTATCTTGATATCTTATGTTGTTGATATTAACAATATTATCATTATTATTGTCATTAATGCTAGTAGAGCTACTATTAGTAACACTCTTACATATGGGAATATTGTAAGCACATCATTGAATCAATACTTTGATGAATAATCAGAGTATGTTGCTACAATAACTTATAAATAGGAAGAGATCATAATTGTGATGTTGCTGGAGAAGCGGTAAATTTGAACACGTTTATATTTCTACCCACTGCTTTGGACGTTTATCACCTAGTGTATGGCCGTCGTTTCGTTTTTGATCTGTAGCTTTCAATAAACATCGAAGTACAAACTCAGCAGATTGTTTTGGTTACTGAATGAATGACGCCGTGGCGCCGTAGACCATGACGAAACTTTGAATCCGCAGTTTTGGGAGACAGGAGGCTGAATGTGACAGTCCACAACAGCACGGCGTTCACGATCCACTGGAGGCCCGATCTGATCGAGAAGTACGTCTGCTACGTGGTGGAGTGGATGAAACAGGGACACTCGGGATGGTACCTGTCCTTCTTTGAGGACGCCATTGCCAGGAAGACCGTTTCCTCTATATCAGGTGGGTAAGCTGTTCAAACAAGCGAGTGGTGGGAAATTTAGAGAACGAAATTTGACACAGAGTCTTTGCTTTTTGTCGCCTTTCCTGACCAACTACACTGCAGCCTTAACGACCGTAAGCCTTTTGTTGCACATGTGCAGAAGGGAGCGGTACTCACTCATCCGGCGCTAGCATGCGTCACGGTGTACGTTAGGGTTACAATTAAGAATAATTTAAATAATCGATTAATCAATTTTTCAAACGATTAATCAGAGAATGGCACATTCTACGGATTTTTGATTTAACCTCTTTAGCAAATTTTTTTAGAAATACAAGTAAATGCAAATAAACAAATAATTAAATTACTTTTAAAATGTAGAAAATAAAAACTGCATTTCCTAAAATGCAAAACCAAAAGATCCTTTGGTAAATCGGAACCGGGTGCAGCTAAAGCTAAAGCTGACATATTTACATACAAAGCTATTTTTATCTTAAATGCAATATAGTTTTTGAACAGTTTTGGCTTAATTACTCTAAATTTGTTTTCTTTCTGTAAATGAAAGAATGACCATCTTGAGTAGTCCAGTTAACGATTAATCAATTAGTTGATTATTACTTCAATAATCAATTAATCCGATTAATCATCTCAGCCCTGTTGTGTATCCATCCCTCCATCCTTGACGATCATTTCAATAATCAATTAATCACAATTGTCGCGATTAATCCGATTAATTGTTTCAGCCCTGGTGAAATGATTCAGTTTCACTGCTGTTGGGTCTGAAGCGGTCCCGACCAAAGACGTGATGCGTGTCTGGATTGAGCTGAGGTTGTGTTTACTCTGAGTGAGCGTGTGGAGCCGTGTGTGTGTGTGTGTATAGTGTGTGTTACCTATGTTAGTCTTCTTTTGCACACTTTTATTGTCAAATACAAAGTTCTTGCTTGAATGAAAATAATTTTAAATATAAATTTCCATGTGCTGTTAGCAACTAACGATCAAAATACTTTACTACAGCAAGGACATTTAAAACTGTAGCCTTTACTGGACAACATGCAGTATATTAGATGAAGTGTCTAAATACACCTGATATGTTTGGAATAACGTTCATGTTTCTTAACAGCAGAAGGTTTCCAATAACATGTCTTTCTTTTGGTTATGGTAAATACCCCCCCATCGTCTTCATTTCCTTTAGTTGTTTGTTTTTCTGCCAAACTAAATGGAAGTGAAATGGAAAAGATGATAGGAAGTCCCGTTTTGAACTGCTCACTTTGAAGTGCTTTGCTGAAAGAAGCAGCCGGTGGTGGGGAAAGACGTGCATCAGCGTGAAATCTGATCTAAATCAAGTGTTTATTTTTGGTCTGTAGGTGAAACACAGAGGGAGAATCAAGTGTTAACTATATCAAGGTTTTTCTTGTTTTGAATATTCGCAACCGGTATGAAACAAAGTTCCCTTCAGATGTCCGTAGCTATGTTTTATTAGAGCAGTTTTATTGACGTTTTGCACATTTTCTTCATGTGGATTTTCACCCATAACTTCATTTATGAACTAATATGGTTTGATTTTCTGGTTATGTGTGCATCACCCAGGTTGTTGCCAAGATCTGATGTGTATTTTACATTGATGGGCCTTGTTAAAAATATTCAAACTGAGAGACATGTTGACTTGAGACATTTAATACTTACTTGCTGTAAATTGAATGGCCAGTCTATAATATAACCTTTTTTTTTTATTTTTCAAATTACTCCAGAACATTTGGAGCCTTACACCAGGTACAGAGTCACTCTGCATTTGCGACCAAACAAGAACACCTGCAACATGAAGTCCATCAACAACAGTGAGAGCACCTACGGGACTACAGAGTTTTATCACACTGAAGGATGTAAGTCAGATACCGCCTGCCAGGGGCGTTGCTAGGTTTTAAGAAGAGGGGGGGCTCTGCCCCTACAGAATGCACAGGATGTCTTTTAATTTGTGTTTTATTGTTATGTGTTTTTATCTGTGCTTTATGAATACTGTACAGCACTTTAAAAGCAGATATTAACTGCCCTAAAGTGCTTTGCAAATAAAATTTGACCTTGACATTTCGTAGTAGGCGAGAACAAAATCTGTCAAACAGCAACAAAACAGAGAAGTTGCTTTTCAGTATTCAGCGTAACAGAAAACTCTTCTACTGTAAAATATGACAGTTAATGGAATTAAATCATTGTCTTGTAAATGACGCCAAGATAGTTCTAATTTTCTGTGGCTCTACACCTAAAATTGTTAGAAAGCCTCTGAAGAACACTTGTGCAAACTTTCACACTTGTATCATCTTCCGAACTTAAATATAATACCTTATGTGGTTATTTATATAGAATTTGCAGGCAGTTTTTTGTAAAAAAAACCCCCCAAAACAAACAAAAAACACATTATTCCAGGGAGGTTTTCGAATATTTTAGGGAGGCTTCAGCCCCCCCGAAAACAGTCCTAGGGTCGCCTCTGCTGCCTGCACTTTTAAAATTTTATCTTACAATCTGAGTATATTTTACAATTATAAAACAAAAAAAAAATTCACTTTACGTGATCATGTCTTGGAATCGCCCACAGCTCCTGTCGGCGCCCCAGCAAACGTCAGCTTCCACAACGTGACGCTTAATTCAGCAGTGCTCCAGTGGTCACAAATCCCAGAGGAAGACTTGAGAGGGTTCCTGCTGGGTTACATTATCTACTACACTGAGCATCATTACCAGGAGACGAGCACAGCGCACAGTAAGGACCAATCATATCAAACCAAGTGATAGCTAGGAAGAGTTTTAGCGAAATAAACATGGCGCCTTCACCTTCATTTCTGCTTTGTCCTGTAGTAGATTCACCAATATGTTTCTAACTTACACGGTGTCAATCAGAATGGTAAATAATTTCTTGAGCATGTAATTTGTTGACACAGACGCTGACCCAAAAGCACTGCTTTTGAACTCTAATTCTGCCAAACTGAAAAGAATGAGTCATAACTAGTCTGGTTTTCAGCTAAGTAGGGCAAAGTGCATCATGCTAATGGGCCTCGAGAAACAACTGTGAGTAATTATGAATGGAATCTAGACAAAGGGAAATTTGTGGTATGTTGTTTGCGAAATCAACTTCAGTTGAGGTAAATATCCCGAGTGCAAGCCCAATACCAAATGCCAAAACGGAGACGGTCGGTGTCAGAGAGCAGAGCGCGCTCTGCATTCGAATGCAAAATTTGTTCCCAGCAATGCTGCAGCAGAGATTCCTGTTGGTTCGTAGGTAAATACCCAAGCACCAGAAGCACAACTCAAACAAAGTCCCATTTTGTCACAGATATAACGGTGGATCCGGGTTCTACCAGCTTTCACATGGAGGCCCTCAAAAGTGGAACGGCGTATCAAGTCCAGATATCTGGTTTCACATCGGCGGGCGAAGGAATCCGAAGCATTCCGAGTGTCTTTAAAACGGATCCGAAAGGTTATTTGATTAGTAAGTTTTAAGACATTTATTCTTTTGAGCTGAAGTTTGAATTTTTATTTTGTTCTTTGCACAGTGAATTTCAGCATCAGGGTCGCAATCGCAGCCTTCGTAGTGGTGGTCTGTTTGCTGGTATTTGGGTCTCCGGTGATAAAAAGGTAAAACATTTATACCCTACTTCTGATGGCAATAAAGTTGAACAGCAAAACACAACATTACTCATACACTGACTGTGCCTAGGGTAAAAGCCATTCTGTGGCCAAGGGTGCCCAACCCTGGACACAGCAACGCAGTGCAGAAAATAGAGAGTCCCGGACAACTGGTAAATGTGCATTTCTGCTTTTCTTTTACAACTTTTACAACCTTAAAGGAATGCAAACTGTTGATGATGTACCATCTTCCACTCAGAAACTCCTGGAGGCATTAGTGACTCTAAAAGCGGTGGAGGAATGGGACACGAAGAGTTTCCAGATTCTAGAGAGGGAAGCCGTGATCCCGCCTCAGACGTTGTCGTCGATGCTGCCGCATGTCAGGACCTGCGAGGACGACAGTCTGGAAATGGCTCACGCCTGGAGCGAGAGGGACGGAGACAGCGCGGCAGACGATGATGACACAACGGACACTTTGCTGGACACACAGAGGACACACTTCCAAAGCTCACCTTTTACCTTTGCAGGCGGTTATACGACGATGGAAATGTTCCAACAGTTCACCCCGCAGTGGATGACAGAAGGTGGCTCAAACACACCGAGCATCGAAGGCGAACCGGAGGACTTCACTGCGTTAAAGTCTATGAGATTAGACTACGTAAGACAATTTAGCACCAGTCCACCGTCAGACAGTGAATTTACACCAGCCCTGGTGTGAACGCCACTTCGGTTGCCTTGAAAGTCTGGTTCGTTTGGGAAGGTGGTCTCTGGTCTGCCTACAAACCTAGGTCTCCGTTCGGTTGAAGTGAACTCTGGTGCGGTTCGAATCCGTATGTAAACGCCAAGTGGACCTGAGACGGCTCCAAAAGCAGGAAGCGAACTATATCGCTGGGCATATATTACCTAAACAAATGTGAGAGTTTAGCACTAGCGGGAGTAATGCCTTGCGGTCTTTTACCAAAGACAGAGGAGGAATCCTACAGCAGCTAAATTTTGACTCAAGTCCATTTTTGTTTACATTTTACGAAGAAGAAAGTTGCACTCATGTTTTCTGTGGAGACTTTCCTGTCGTTTTCCCTCAGTGGGATTTGGTGTAGCGCCACCACAGGCGAGGAGGGGAACAGGTTTTTCAAAGGGTTTGGTTCGTTTGAGCCGAAAATGTAAATGTTGCAGTTTTGGTCTACCGGGCTACCAGTTGTGAAAATTCTGGTCATTGTTGACATTTATTAAAATGTTTTGTGTGAGAAATACACACACAGACACACATTCTTGTACTTTATCGATCTGAGGACCTCCATTCACTTTATACGTATGAAAAATATTGGATACTAGGTCCAAATGCTGTAAACTTCAACAAGCTCTAAGTAGTACAATAAATGCTAGTTTACAATTAGTGACATGTAGAACAGAAACAACCAGGCAAAACATCTGAGTGGAAAGTCTCTTTATTCAGAGTTTTTTCAATCAAATAAAACATCTTAGGTTCAAACCAAAGAGTAATATGTACATACATCCGAATATTTCAAAAACTATTTTACTGAACCAACATCAACTCGTCCAATTTCCCAGCACAAAAAAGTCCTCTCAAATGCGGAGAAGATGAGCACATAAAAAAAGTAATAAAGTACATGTTCACATATTGGCAGATGAGCTTGAAACGATTTAATTCTGACATTTGAAGCTCATTACTTCTGACAGATGTGTTAAGAAAAAAAGACGTAAACTTTTCAAAATAGGAACTGGATCTGTTGCCGTTTTGCCACCATGTTTGAGCACTCATAACTACTGCAACACATTAAATCACAGAATAAAAGGATAAAAACATCCCATGAACAGTTAGTCTATTCCGACAGCCCACAATACTTTAATATAAGATCTTATTAGTTTTATTCGTAAAACATCCAAATGAGTCTCAATATTTTATTTGCTTGCTGTACAATCGTGGTCTAGGCACTTTTTGACCCTTCTGTGCTTCCATACGGTTTGTTGACCTGCGAGATTTCAGTTTATTTTCCCCCATTTCCAAAATAAATAAAAAAATCAGCCCGTAAACTTTTTTCAGTCATCTTGTTAACTGAAAATATTTCATCCCTCAGCGTTACGATAGAAGAAAAATCAAACATGGTACACTGAAATGTTGCTGTGGCAACATAGAAATTGACGCAATGATAGCTATGCGAATGAGGCCTACAGCTAGACAAAAGTTGGGCCAAACACCTGCAACAACATACTGTCTCATAATTATAGCTCTCTGAGTTATTATTCAATAATAATATCCTGAAGGACAACAGAGTTCCTGGATGGTGCAGAAATGAGGCGCAAAAAGCTGGACAAAAGGACACTTCACAAACCTCAGACAGAAATCCTCTCAAGTGTCCACAAACAAGAAAAAAAATAAATAAGCACTTCAGAAACCTGTTTTCTTTAGCCTTGTAGAAAAAAAGTCTTCAGTCCAGTTTACATCCTTACAGGAACAGGAAGGTCCTCACACTTCTAGCGCTAACAAGTCATACGCCTGTGTTTCTCCGAATCAGCTAGATGGGGGAAGCTTCCGTTGCAGCCACACCACTTTCTTCTGGTTATTTATTTAGTTTTTAACATTTATGGTAAAAGTTGGCCGTTTTTAGTTAAATTAAGTTTTTATGTTTCTTTTTTTATTCTACAATTTTGCACATCCTTTTTGTTTGAAAAGGTCTGGATCAAACCATTCTTTCCCTCCTCACCTTTAAACAATCACTTAAGTAAAAAAAAAAAAAAAGAAATATTAACTGAAATGAGATTAAAGTTGTTAATGTCGATGGATTTGTTTTTTAATTTAGTAGCTTTAAAATTTAACTATGGATTCCTGACAAATATTTGACACAACACACAATATATAGCAACAGTTCTGGTGAAACTACTCGCTACTGATTCTAATTAAAACTATATATTAAAAAGGCCAAACACACCAAAAAAAAAACAAACAAAAAAACTAATTTTTTTGATTGACCAAATTGATCCAGGTTTTGTAGTTGCAGATATAAAAGTTTTCCTTACCTGAACAGATAGTTTTTTTGTTGTTTTGTTTTTCTTATATCAAAATACTTCTTGCTCCTTTATGATCCCACTCACATTTATTGACTAAATAAATAATTAAGACAATAGTCAATATACAGTTTTTATGACTTAAGCAGATTCCTGCTGCACATGTGGTTTTGAGAAGTAAGCACAGGCTGGTGACTGCCACCAAGGAACAAAATGGCTTTCAAATATCACCGCTCAAAGTTTCCTAACAGTGTTTGGAGCTTAGAGTGATAGTCCTGTACACTGCCAGTCAGCTAGCTGAAAGAAGACTACTAGTTTTTATTTTTTTTCTTTTAATACTTTGAAAAAAAAAATAGCAGTTTGGATTTTTGTAAACATGGAAAGAAAAAACGATTCGGAAACTAGATGAGTTCCAGCCATCGCTGTTACCGGGGCAACACTGTTTCTAACCAAATGTCGGCTTTTATAAAAAGAATTAGATCACGTTTCCTATTTTCATAATTAGTATTTTTAATCTGTTACTGAGGAGGAATTTATTTAGAGGAAAGGGTTGATGTACCGGAGCATGACTAAACACTGCCAGTCTGAGAGGCATTAATGAAGCTTACAGATAAAATCCAGAGTTTTACCAAATAACGTTGACCGCAGCCCCGATCGCCTCTTCGGTTGGCTCCAGGTTTCCACACGCGCTGGTCGATCTCAGCAGCTTTTGATTTTCTTTCTGCGACATCGCGTCGTCCGTCGGAGCCGCTTTGAAACAAGCGCCGCCGTCGGGATGACGCTGACGTGCTTTTATCCTGGAAGGTTGTGTCGAAGCACCGTCTCTCCTGTCCTCCGGGCCGGAAAATGAGCTCGACGTCAGAATCCTCGGGTTTGCAGCGGGAGTTCGTAACGCAAAACGGAAGAAACTCGTGATGAGGCGACAGGTGGTGGGAGATGACGCGCGCGGCGGGACGAGGGAGACGCAAACGGCGACTGTTCACTTGGTGGCGTTGCGGCCCAGAAACGCGGCCTCCTCTCTGTGAGTTTTGTAGCTGCCGTTGTGCTGGGCGCGCGGTGATGATGTCGGAGTGGCTGAGCCTTCCCTGTCGCTCCCGTACGCCGCCTTTTCTTCCCTTTTGTAGTCCTGCTAAATGAAAGAAAGTCAACGCTTAAAACAGGACGGAAAGATGGCTAAATGCTGCTTTTATTGCTCTGAAATGACTACATTTTGGATTTAAAAAAAAAAATAAAACACCTGATAAATATTTATTTTAATAGTGTACAATAATTTATAAATCACTTTCCAACCAAAAACAAAAACTCTGACTTCATTTGATTGAGTAATTACATATTCTGACGATTTGATAAAAAAAAAAACTGGCAGATTTTTTTTTTACCCACGTAACCCTCTTTTATACAATAATAATACACAATAATAATAAAATTATAAAACACATTTTTATCATGGTAATAAGCAAAAAACTTGTATCATAATTAGGAAAATAAAAATTTTAGTGCCTGGAAGGCAAAAGCGCTGCATCCCTTTACTGAATCTGAACCAGATGAAGCTGAAATTATACCACTTGAAGATTTTTAGTTAAGACATTTACAAACAAAATTTTTTTTATCTTAAATGCAATATATATATATTTGTACAGTTTTGCCTTAATTACTGCTACAAATATGTTATTTAAGCAAATGGTCCTTTTTTGATTCTGCATACTCTAGTTAATAATTAATCAATTACTAAATTAGTTGATAATTATTTTCATAATCAATTAATCCGATTAATTGTTTCATCCCTAATCAAACTGGCAAACAAAAACTATCACAGCATAAGTTTTAATTACAAATATCACTTCTTTGGCCTCTTGACTCGACAATATTGGCTCATGAGACAAAAAGTTTGGACACCCAGAGCCGGAGGGGAGAGCCGCTGGCCGTGGCTCAAGAACGACTCCCTTACAAGAATTCGACCGGCCATTTGTAAAAACTCACGACACTGACTGAGTTAAGGACAGTGTCCTTTATTTGTAAGGCACTTCACATGATAAAAATGTCAAAGTGCTTTGAGGATTTAGCAGCTCTGGATTGTGGTGATCTCAAAATGAACCTTATATGTTTTACAGCCCTGTTCAAGTAATCTGACGATATATTATTTTAATTACACTGCACAAACCCAAAGTCACTGGTAGATTTCTTCACTTGCAGTATGTCTTTTTATAGGGCAAAGAATACACAAGTGGAACAAGGAATTTTACTAACTAAGTCCGAGTCTCTGTGGAGCCACAGAGGCGAGTCTGGAATAAATTAAGCCTGAAATGGCGTCAGAGTTAACCTGATTGGATTTGACTCATTGAAATTTGACAACAGATTCGTGTTTACCTCAAAAACAGAACAAACAGTTAGCTGCATCACACTCCAAAAAAAAAAAAAAAGCTGTTAACTGTTGTACGTGACAAAACTGTGTGCAGATATGACGAACAGAGCCCTGCAACATGAAGGCTTTTTTTTTTTTTTTTTTGTGGGCATGTTTTCAGCCGTCTAAGATGTTCAGATTGTTATCAGATCAGATGGAACGACGAGCCTTTCTTCAACTTGTTTTTTCTATCAACGCTATCGTTTGGGTTGATCTGGAACTGAAGTAGGTTAGTTGTGTGGTCCCATCTGAAACGACCTAAAGAGGAGTGGAAACATTTACCACTGAAACGAGATTACCTAGAGTTGGTGGGACGGGATGGAGATAGAGCGATGTGCTGCGGTCCGACACTCTGGCTCACTTATCTCCCCTCTCCTCTACTCTCAGGTTTGCTTCAGAGCGAACGGCATGAACGGTGCTTGTCAAACGTAACATTTCAAAGCGCATGGAGTCATACCGAAGTTGAAGAACCACTGAGAGGCAATCTGGTTGTCTAATTTGTTTAAGTGCAACTCGGTCACAGAGCTGCAGCACTTCCTGTTCGCTACTACTTTTAAATGTATTTTTATTTTTTGCCACCGTCTCATTTGGTTTTGTTTTAGAGTTGTGAAACGATCTCATTGGCTAAATATATTCAGACACTCTCAGCGCACTGCGTTTGTTTTTACACTCTGCACTTTTACTTGCTTTGCTGTCCAAATGTTTACGTTTGAGACACTTTAGACTTTTTCAGTAAAAACAGGAAGTGCAAAACAATCATTTTAATTTTACATGAGATGAACCAATTTGTGGGCGAACGCATCAACTCCCAAGATGCAGTTGAAGTTGAATAAAAAAATAAATAAAATCAGGTGGAGGTTAGGGGTTGGCAATTATCTCTTATTAACTGTCTTAAAATATTTTGATTTATTGTTATCTCGACAGTATAAAAACAGTATAATCAGAAGTCCTAGTGTTGCTGTTGTCTCCACTGTTCCATGAGATAATTTATAAATATCATTACATTTGATAACATAATAAAATAAGGTTACTGTTTGGGATTTAGTGATATAAATCACACTTTTTTAAGTAACTGCCATCCTAAAGAAGTCTGTTTTAAATGAGAATGTTTTTCAAGAGCAATATTTGTGTTTGTGGCCCAATCCAGGCACATCCACACTATTACCAAAAAAATAAGTAATAAATAGTTTAACAATTTTTATTGTTATCACAATAGTACAACAAAATGTGATAACATTTTAAGTTCATATCACCCGCTCCTGGTGGAGGTTAGGCTATAAATGGTGATAATCTTGTCATTTTTGCTTTGATTATAAACTATCTAGGAGCCACCATATTGTTTTATGTAAAAGCCCATAAAAAAAGTCACTTGGTCAAAATTGTTACTGACAGGTCAGACTTCAAGAAAAAAAAAGAAGTCAGCACTGACTGTAGCAAATTCAAAACTACTGGCAGGCCACAAAATTAGTTAGTATTTTTAGGTTTAGCTGCTCAATAATAAACACATTTCTTAATGAAATCTGTATATCATTAAAGACCCGAAACATAAAAAAGGCTTTGGACTTTTGCCTTATTAAAAGAAAAACAGACAATTTCCAAATTCTTGACTTGTGCTCAGGGGTCAAACAAAATCATTTGAAGGGCCACAATGTGGGGAGCCACGTTCTACTAAACTGCTCATCCTGTTAAGGGGATAGCAGATGGGTTGGTGAGAAAATCGCGAGTTGTTTCACCTTGGTTGTCTTGGATTTGCTCTTTATCCGCTCCTCGTCTTTGCGGCTTCTCTTCCTGGACAAGGAACGCTCCTTCCTGTCTCTGCTGCGCTCCCTCTTCTTCTCCCGTTTACTTCTAAAAGAGGCCAACGGAAACAAATGAACAATGACAAATAAATGAACCAAACAACGCATTAAATGACTCAGGTGCTGCTGAGAACAGAACCAGAGGTTGACGGACTGACCGTTTTGGTGAAGGTGACCTCGCTTTCCTCCGAGGGCTTCTGGACCGATCCTTGCTCCTCCTTTTGTGGCCTCTAATAGAAAAGAAAAATTACATTTAATAAAAACAGTAAGTAGGACAGCCAGACAGATTTACAGAGAAGCAGCAAATGCAAATGAGGTGGATTAGCAGAACTGGCCAACAACTGATATTATCATCTAGGACATG